TTCTTTGCTAACATGCAAAACCCTGTGAACATACTTCTAAATAATTTTTTTTTATTTTTTATTTTTTTAATTTTTTAAAATTTATTTATTTATGATAGTCACACACACACAGAGAGAGAGGCAGAGACACAGGCAGAGGGAGAAGCAGGCTCCATGCACCGGGAGGCCGACGTGGGATTCGATCCCGGGTCTCCAGGATCGCGCCCTGAGCCAAAGGCGGGCGCCAAACCGCTGCGCCACCCAGGGATCCCTAATTTCTTTTTTTTTAAAACATAGCATAGAAGATGAATCTTAATGCTTTTATAACTCATCAGCCCATAACATCTGCTACACTGCAAAATTACATTTTAAAAAACTATAATATCATTTTTCTTTTGAATGTGAAACTTAAATATAAGTTAAACCTAACATAATTAAAATCACACTAGTGCAGAACCCTGCCTTGGATTACTTCTGTAATGAAATATTTATTTTCTAATTCATTTGAGATTTGTCTTTAATAATAAAAAACTATCATATATCTTGAATTTTTTTTGTTTTGTTGCTCTTATTTTAGTTTGACTTTTAATATTTTGTTTAAGTATGATCTCTCTCAAGATTGCAATTTTAAAAGCACAGAGTTCAGGCAGGAAGGAAAAAGCATGAAGCAGAGTAGGTCAGTGACACAACTTATGGGACAACTGCTGCCAGAAGGGGCCCCTGAACCCAGCTCTGCTTTATGGGGGCCCTATGGAAATATTCATCCAATTTTGCCAGTTTATCAAGTTTTTACAAGAAAAGTAGTTAATTATACTTGTATTCAAAACTTTATAATGTCTAAATATTGTACACTTTTTTAAAGATTTATTTATTTGGGAGAGAGAGTGAGAAAGAATGGGGGGGTGCAGAGGGAGAGGATCCTCAAGCAGACTCCCCACAGAGCAAGGAGCAGGACATGGGGCTCAATCCCACAACCCTGAGATCATGACCTGAGCCCAAAGTAAGAGTCAGATGCTTAACCAACTGAGCCACCCAGGGGCCCCAATATTATATACTTAAAAAAAAATCTTGGAATGGTAAACAAAAATGATCTGTAGACTGATGCCTTGGCTGCCACTAACCTGTGACTTTTGGTGTCTGTCTTTAAATCTTACTCTGAAAGTAATCCCTGATCCAAGATTATGTATTTACTGATGTTTTGTTCAGTTTTAATCTTTGACATTGATGTTGTTTAGCTCATCTCTTACTGACTTCTGCAAGTGATGTGTGATAGGTATCCAACTTATTTTTTCCCATTATCTAACTTTATCATTAGCTCCATTTTCCCTAGTGCTTTATAATGGCCCATTTTTAAATACCCAAATTTGTAGAATTGTTCACTTATTTGTCTTTATACTCATTGGATATATTTGTATATTCCTCAATGAGTACCCTTCTGTAGGTTTGTAGTATAATGGTGAGTTTGGAGGTTCAATCCATTTTCTACCATTTTCAATAATATTATAATTAATGTATAACTATTCTTTAATTAAAGTAGACTAAAAATCACCTTAGTAAACCCAATAATTTAAAAATCATGTAACACTTTGGAGAAAAACAACTTTATATGAAATCTCTTCATCTCTCTGCCTTTCTGTCTCTGTCTCTCTTTCACAACACACACACACACACACACCATCTCTGATACAGTTTTGTGACTTTTTCTCAGGCGGACTCTCAGACTTCTTCTAAATTAAGGTCATAATATAATTGCTTAACTATATAATACTCAGAATTAGAAACAATTATTTTTTAAAAATTTTTTGTGAAATATTTCTATTTTTGAAGGTGGGACTTCTGGGTTTCTAAATTGCAGACTGCTATTGTACACATAGATATGCTTCGGAGACTCTGCAAATCCTTTATAAGACTTTCATAGACATTTGTATAGCCCTGAAGATAATGTCCATAGGTTTCATTGGTTTGTCAAAGAATATTATGATCTAGGAATAATTAATGCCTCACGTCAACAATTCCCAGACTTGTGACACATTAAATATCAAATACAATTAAAAGTCTTAAAGTTCTTTGATAATTAATTGAGGAAAATAATCGAATACATGAAAGGCCCTGTATTCTAAAAATGAGCAACTAATGTTTTAGTGAAATATTAGTTCACTAAATCAGATGGGAAATATAAATTACAGCCCATTTTCTCATCATGTAGGTGGTTTTATTCCCCTTCTAAAAGTAATGAATGTATTAATATAATTATAATAATAGTGTTCTTATTGCTACCAGTTACTTAGCACTCACAATGTACTAACCACCGTGACAAGAACCTTGAATGCAGTATCTCATTTCACTCTAAAAAAGTCTCAATTATGAGATATTCTTATCATCATTTTCATACAGAAAGTGATCTTAGGAAATTGCCCAGATGATTAGTAGCTGAGATAGAAATAGAACTTGACTATTTTTTTCTCTCACTCAGGTTAAAAATATAGCCTTCTCTTTCCCATTTTTTTCTCTCTCCTGTGTCTTGGACATATAGAATGAAATAAGTTCCAATAATGGATTTTTATTAAACACTCAGGCTGTTAAAATGACAAAATTTTAGCAGTTCAATCCTTCTGAGATTAATCTAACCCATTCCTAGAAATTTTAGGGCTATAATGAAATCATTACCGTTTTTCACTGACAACTGTGTTTAGCAGTAAGCATGTCAATGGCCGAAGTTGCCTTTATTAAATAGTCAAAAACAACCATTCATGATTTTTCCTATTCACTTATTACCTTAGGAAGCTTTATGATTGACAAAGCACAAATATGAAGAATCAGAGTCAATATTTGATGTCTGTCATCTAGAAACATATATATGAGAGTCTGTGGCAAGGGAATATTTTGAAAGATATTGTTGCAAAGGAAATTTTTGAAGTCCATTTCTTAAGCTCCTCTTAATATCAACAGCCACTCAAAATGGATTTAATTTTTAACCCACACGGTAGAGATAACTTAGAACATGTAAGTGAAAGCTGGAAACATCCCTTCTAGCCTCAAGAATCTGTGGAATTGGAATAAAAGACAGGGGTAAAGCATGGAGGCAAAATGCCCAAGTTCCAGCTTTCCCTTGTTCCCTTGTCTCGGGGCACAATTCCTTGGGGAAGATTAGATACACATAATCCTGGAGCTGGGATTTGAAACAAGACTATCTGAAATTGGAGGCCACTCTCCACGTGGTCTTAGCCAAAAGGCCGAGGAGCGATGGAGGCCACTCTCTAATGATGAAAATTTGTAGTCTTTTCAGATAAAGAGCGATGATGCCTGTTTTAAGTGGGTAACATGAAATTATCAAAATAATGACGTGTACAGGTGATACTTAGGAACCTAAGTGGACACAATCAATTAATTAATTTAAAAGGTAGAGCAGGTTGAAGGAATCACTGTGCATTATTAAATAACCATGTAATGTTTTTATCCACCTAATATTTTTATTCATCATGCTAAGGTCATTGCTCTGGTACTGTAGTGTCTTTTGAGCTATGTTTTTTTTTAAATAATAAATTTATTTTTTATTGGTGTTCAATTTGTCAACATACAGAATAACACCCAGTGCTTGAGCTATGTTCTACGTTCTGTACAACCAAGTGAAGAATGTGTATGGCAGGAGTTGACTTCATTAATTTGAGTTGTTGTAGGCCATTGAGGAATGGCTGGAAAAACCTGGTGATGGTAGGAGTAAAAGCAATATGTCAAATATCTAAAATAGATATAGATAAAACCCAAGTAACTCTCTCTAAAGTAGTTCTTTTTGTGGGGACAGCCTATCAGGCTGGGTTCTCTAGAGAAATGGAACTGATAAATTAAAGGTTAAGTTAACATATATAGATCTGCAAGTTGGAGAACGAGGAAAGTGAGAGGTGTAACTCAGTTTCATCTTGAAGACCTGAGAATTAAGATTACAGAAGTGTAAATCCTGGTTTGGGTCTGGAAGCCTGAGAACTAGGAGAGCCAATGTCTCAGAGCAGAGGACAGGGAAGTCCTGTCTCAAGCTGGGAGAGCAAATTGGCCCTTCCTCCACATGTTTGTTCTATTCAGGCTTTGAATGAATTGGATAAGATCTACTCTCGTTAGTGAGAACATTATTCTTCACTCAGTCTATGAATTCAAATGTGAATCTCTTCCAGAAACACCCTCATAGACATATACAGACATCGTGTCTCACCAGCTATCTGGGCATACTTCAGACCAATCCAGTGGATACATAAAATTAACTATCATAGTGGGGAAGGAGCGGATTGTTTTTTTCAATCCAGAACACAGATTATAAGTACTGGCACAAACACAGCATTTTAAAATAATGGATGGCCAGACCCCATCACAGAAAAAATTGATCAGAAAATCTGAGGTTAAATCTGAAACTTGTAGGCCTCCCTAGGTGACTCTAATGTGAGTGAATGTTATCTCTAGGAAACACGGTGACAACTCTTAGCTTTTGAAACTTTTTGAAAAATGCTAGTATGACTTTTCTCCATGGAATGTGAAGTTTGATACTGCACGAAATTTGTTTTTCTCAAATGTAACGTGTCCTTACATGCTCTCCCACTGGCATACCCCTCCTATTCCACCCCCACCAATCCTCAGCCCCATAGAAGGGTGGAATATAGCACGCTCATTTGGCTAGATTCTAAAATCATACATCTGTTTGGATAGAAATCCTGTCAGCTCTGGGTAATAAAATGTGATTTGGAAGTAATGTGTATTTTATTTAACTATTGACTACAAATTAAAAATTAAAAACAAAAAGTTGGTTTTTTTATTGTTGTCAACTTCCTTAAATAATGTCCTTAAATAGAACAGCTTAAGTGGCCAAAATAACCATCTTTTAGGTGATTTTTGAAAATTACTTTTACAAACAGGAAAAAGACACCAAGGGATTTCAGCGAATAAAGCCAAAACTGTCACAACATGATAACTCAGTTCCAAGGTTTTCAGAAAGATGCATTCTTTCTTCTAAAACTTTCACACATGGTTTTCATAATATTTACATTTCTTTCTTTCTTTCTTTCTTTCTTTCTTTCTTTCTTTCTCTTTCTTTCTTCTTTCTTTTCTTTTCTTTTCTTTTCTTTTTTTTCTTTTCTTTTCTTTTCTTTTCTTTTCTTTTCTTTTCTTTTCTTTTCTTTTCTTTCTTTCTTTCTTCCATCCTGAATCATAAACACAAATAACATATTTTTATCCTGAGAATATTCTTTAAGAAACTTTCTTATTAGTATTAAAGCTCATAAACTATAACATGCTGCTGTTAAGAAGATGCAACTTGCAAGTATATAATATTACATTTATAAAATAATTGTGTTATTTATGAGAAAAAAACTATTTTTATTTAAAGTCAGTATACCTTGTTAAAGATAGCACTGAATCTATAAATTACATGAGGTAATATTTAACATTCTTCCAATCCGTAAGTATGACATATCTTTCTATTTGTTTAACACCTCCAGTTGCAAAAAAAAAAAAAAAAACACCTCCAGTTTCATCAATGTTTTATAATTTTCAGCGTACATATCTTTTACTTTCTTAAGTTTATTCTTAGGTATTTTATTTTGGGGGGTGCAATTATAAATGAAATTATTTTCTTAATTTCTCTTTCTGCTACTTTATTATTACTGTATAGAAATGCAATCGATTTCTGTATATTAATTTTGTATCCCACAACTTTACAGAGTTCATTTATTACTTCTAAAAGTTGTTTGGTGGAGTCTGTGGGGGTTTCTTGTATAATATCATGTCATCTGCAAATAGTGACACTATCATAATATACATTGTACTCTTCACAGAACTAAAACAAATAATCATAAAATCTATAAGGAATCAGAGTAGACCCTGAGTAGCAAGAACTATCTTGAGAAAGAACAAAGCTGGAGGTACCACAATCTTAGATTTCAATGTATGCTACACCTAAGCCATAATGATCAAAACAGTAGGATACCTGTACAAAAATAGACACATAGATTTAAAAAAATAGAATATGAAGTCCAGAAATAAAATCATGCTTATCTAGTCAATTAGTTTATGACCAAGAGGGCAAAACACATATAATAAGAAAAAAAGAGTCTCCTCAGTAAATGGTGCTGGGAAAACTGTACAGCTACATGCAAAAGACTGAAGCTGGACCACTTTCTTACACCACAGACATTAAAAAAAAAACTCACCAAAATGTATTAAGGACCTAAATATGACACCTAAAACCATAAAAATTCTATAGAAAACAGACGGTAAACCCTTTGACTTCAGCCTAAACAACATTTTTCTAGATATGTCTCCTGAGTCAAGGGAAACAAAAGCAAAAATAAACCATTGGAACTGCATCAGAAAAAAAAAAAAGCTTTTGCACAATGAAAGAAGCCATCAACAAATGACAATGCAACCTACTACTGGGAGAAGACATTTGCAGGTGATATATTTGATAAAGGGTAATATCCAAAATATGTAAAGAACTTCTACAACTCAACACCATAAAAATAAATAATCTGATTTAAAAATGGGCAGATGACCTGAATAGACACCAAAGAAGACATACTGATGGACAGCAGACACATGAAAAAATGCTCAACATCATTTATCATCAGGGAAATGCAAACAAGACCACAAGAGATATCTTCTTGCACCTGTCATGATGGCTAATATCAAAAAGACAAGAAATAACACATGAGGATGTGGAAGAAAGGAACTCTCAGGTACTGTGGGAATGTATTTTGGTACATCTACTATTGAAAACAGTACGGAGTTCCTTAAAAAATTAAAAATACAAATACCATATGATCCAGTAATTCCACTACTGGAATGCAAAAACGCTAATTTAAAAGATACATCCACTTCTATGTTTACTGCAGCCTTATTTACAATAGTCAAATTATGGAAGTAACCTAATTGTCCATCAGTAGATAAATGGTTAAAGAAGATGTGGTGTACACACACACACACACACACACACACACACACACACACTGGAATACTACTCAGGCATAAAGGAGACTTAAATCTTGCCATCTGCAACAACATGGATAGACCTAGAGGATATCATGCTAAGTGAAACAAGCCAGAGAAGGACAAATATGATGATTTTACTCATGTAGAATTTAAGAAACAAAGAAAAAAGGAAAAAACAAACAAACTCAAATATCGAGAACAAAAGGGTAGGTCGTAGGAGGATGGGTGAGGTACCTGCAGGGGATAAAGGGAACCTTATCGTAGTGAGTACTGACTAATGAATGGAATTCCTGAATCATCGTATCGTACACCTGCAACTAATGTAACACTGTCAATTATGTTTAAAAGCGGTAAAAAAAAAGTTTGTCATATAAATTAAATCAAATCTGCAGGTGGGAAAAAACTGATAAATGGATAAATATGTGGTATGTATACATATACAGTGGAGTATTACTCAGCCGTAAAATAAAGACACCTTACCATTTGTGGCCATGGAGTATAGGGCTAAGTGGAATCCATCAGAGAAAGACAAATACCGTATGATTTCAAATGGAATCTAAAAACAAATACAAAAAAAGGCAGAAAGGGACCCATAAATCGGAAAACAAACTGGTGGTTGCTGGGGGCATGGGCGAAGGTTGGGCAAGAGGGTGAAGGTGGAGTGGGAGGTACAGGCATCCAGTTATAGGATGAATAAGTCGTGGGAATGAAAGGCACAGTGTAGGGGAACACAGTCAATGGTCCTGGGTAGCACTGCTTGGTGACAGCGACAGACAGCGGCTACACTCGCAGTGAGCACATCTAGACCTGTCAAATCACTGTGCTGTACACCCGGACTAATGTGACATGAGTGTCAACTATATTTCAATAATTATGTTCAAGAAATAAAAATAAAACAATTATAACGAAAAAAAAACAGTATATTTTGTGATATGATTACATTGTTTTTTACTATGGTGACTGATATTTTTCCTATTAAATAGTATCGATGTGATACAATTAAGTGTGGTAATCAGGTCATGTGATAGTATTATTTATGTGATATTAATGTATGTGGGACGTTAAAGTTTGTAATGATATATTGGGTTTGACTGAAGGATTGGTGAAGTCTACTTCAGTTTTGAAATTATTTGAGTTCCCTACCAGAACACTGATGTGGTGTGAGTGTAGCAGCATTCAAGGAGAAGACAGACAGAAACTGTTTTTCCTATTTTCCTGTCTTCATTGTGGACGTTAAACATTACCCAACAGAACAGTAAGTCTATCTCCCTGGTTTTGAATCTCCCTTTGCAAGTCTTCACATTAAAATAAAATTCAATGGGTATTTGGAAACATAATTCTGTTGTTTTAATATTGTGCCTTCTTAAATAAAGACAAATTTGAAACCTTTTTTTAAAAAAACAAGATCTGCTTTCAGTACAATTCATCATGACACAAAATGATTTTTACTTTACAAAAAAATTCAAAGTTCCATTAATTCCTAAACTTTCTTCATACAGCCAAGTATTTTCATGTCATTAATTACTGGGCAGAGATACTTGAAGAAAATTAAGATTACATTTAAAGTATCCGACACTGCCAATTGAATATTAATGTCCAGAATAGGCTTTATTCATTACAATAAAACACATGGGGGAAATAAAGATTTGATTTATAAGCATTTAATTTGCTCACAATGCTGAAGAACTTTATTCCGAGGCACACCTCTATGTCACTCTAAAGGAAATACTACTGGGACGCCTGGGTGGCTCAGTGGCTGAGCGTCTGCCTTGGGCTCAGGGCATGATCCCACGGTCCTGGAATCCAGCCCCACATCAGGGTCCCTGCAGGGACCCTGCCTCTCTCTGTGTGTTTCTCATGAATAATAAAATCTTAAAAAAAAATAAAAAATAATAAAGGAAATACTACTGATACAGGAGAGCTTGGTTCTTGTCTCACAAAGAATCTCCCAGACAACAGAGTGAGCAAAGCGATAGACGTTTATAAAGCAGAGACACAGAGACAGCTCTCAGGAGTGAGAGGGGTCCCGACAGGATTGCTGCTGAGGGCTTTTAGGGTCTGTCTTTTATAGGGCCCAACCCGGGAACTTGGTCAATTCCTTGTCGATATCAGGGTGGGTTTGTAAATATCATGTGGATCCTGAGAACAAACATGGGGGACTTGTAACAACTGAGATGTTCTTGCAAATATCATGAGCCCAAACAAGGTGTCCCCTTCTCTCTGGTTAATGTCTCCTCCATAACATTCCTCTACAGCTGGGTTTCTGTGAGCCTCGCAGGGAGCCCTGGCCTTGACATTCCTGCGCCCTCTGGGTTTGGGGGGACTATGACCACACCCTAATGACCTATGTCTTTGTAGTCTGGTGAGTTTCTATGATTACTTAGTAGACATTAAAGGGGGAGACTCTCTAATAGTTTGAAGCTAGGGAGCCAGGTTTTTCAATTTTTAGGTGTCTTATCTTTGTTTTCTTGGGATGGGTAGGAGCCTGACTCTGGGGCTTTCCCTTATCTTTCCCTGCCTAGCCCCGTCTGCCCCTAATGCATTTTTATATCACTACAACACCCAAAAAAACAAATGATCTAGTCGAGAAATGGGCAGAAGACAAGAGGAGACATTTCTGCAAAGAAAACATACAAGTGGCCAACAGACACATGAAAAAATGCTCAGCATCACTCAGCATCAGGGAAATACAAATCAAAACCACAATCAGATACCAGTCAGAATGGCTAAAGTGGACAAATCAGGAAACTGATGTTGGCAGGATGTGGGGAAAGGGGAATTTTTTTATACTGCTAGTGGGAATGCAAACTGGTGCAGCCACTCTGGAAAACAGCGTGGGGGTTCCTCAAGAAGTTAAAAATAACCAGCAATTACTGGGTATAACCACCCAGCAATTATTAAGTATTTACCCAAAGGACACAGGCATAGCGATCCAAAGGGGCACTTGTACCCTAATGTTTATAGCAGCAATGTCCACAATAGCCATATGGAAAGAGCCCAGGTGTCCATCAACAGATGAACAGATAGAGAAGATGTGGTATCTGATCTGTATACAGTGGAATAGAACCCAGCCATCGAGAGAGAGAGAGAGAGAGAGAGAGAGAGAGAGAGAGATCTTGCCATTTGCAATGACACGGATGGAATTAGAGGGTATTATGCTGAGTGAGTGAAATAAGTCACTCAGAGAAAAACAACCATCATTTGATCTCACTCA